TGCTGTCACTCTTCAGAGCACATGGAAATTAGTTTTGCTTGTAGGACGAAGGAGCATTTAGCTCAAAATATAAATTATTTCGCAGCACTTATTGTGCTCTCATGTTTCGAATGTGCAAAGTTTGTTTCTGAAAGAATTATATATGTGATATATATGTAAAGCATAAATACATATAAATGTAAACTAAATCTGAATCATTAAATTGTTATCAGTTTGCTTTTTGTTTACAATCATATTTATTAATACTGTGGATCTACTGGCTTGAAGGGTTCAGTGTAGATTTTCAGCTAAACTATCAGCAACTAAAATAATCTGAGACATGTAGCTGAGAGCATCTCCAGCCTTACACCGTTAAAACACCAAACAGTGGCTATAGATGTAACACCATTTGGTTTTAAGAAGTCTTGATTATTAATGTTTGGCAAACATTGTTTCAAAATCTCTGCGCTAACAGTTCTTTTAAACTCCGTCAAGCTAGCTGGTGGTCATGTGTCAGTTCAAACAAAATGGCATGAGACTAGAATTAAATTTTGCCATCAACTGGTAGTCTTTATTAAATAAAGTATGAGTTTACGTGCCAACACACGCCAAAGAACCCAAGCCCTCTAAAAGCAGCTGGCTTCCTTTTATACTCTACCTGATTCAGGTATTCATTCTGGAATAGCACAAGTCTATAAAGTGTGGTGTTCCCAAAAGGTTGATTCTGTTCATCTGGACGTAGTTTTCAGTGGGAGAAACATTTCGTCACTTATCTAAGTGACTTCTTCAGTCTCAGCTGACTGCAAGTTTCCCCAACCTTATAAACAGTACATTTGCACAATAGCTGAGACCAGCCCACTGAATGAACAAATTGTCATCATATGCAAATTGTCAAGTCTAGTGTTGGTAAACCAAATGAAAAAAATAAACATCCACAAAAGCAAACATCGAACCACAATACAACACACACAATACTTTTGTCACAAGGACACTTAATGGACTGGAGCTGGCATCATTACACCTAAGCTTACTGAGCTACTATCACAAGTTAAATTGTAGCTAATCCATTAATATTTGGGCTGGATTCATGACACTTTAGCCAAGTGTACATTTATTTTAAAAAAGTCACAGAAATTTGGATTATTTGGGACTTTATTGAAAAGCAAAAGTACAAAAAGCAGAGAAAGAGCAATGCAGTTTTACTGATATATAAACAGAAACAAACCCACAAATGTGTTAAAAACATAAACCACACAACCCTCCAGAATCTCAACTTGAACTAAACTCTAAAATTAAAAACACTCAAAGCATAGCTTAAATCAAACAACAGAGAATAAACATCATCTTCATTAATTAAGAAATAAATCAGATATAAAGTAAAATCTTTTAAGGTCTCCTGGAATTCAACACAAGTTTGTCTTTTAAATCAAATTTTTAGTAAACTTACAAGATTTAGAAATATATTATTATGATTCCTTTATCACTGAGCAGTAGCAGTTTTTGATACGGGCAACACGGGCGGTTGCCCGGGGCGGCATAATGGTGGGGGGCGGGGGGCGGCATCGGCAAAAATAAATAATTAAAAAAATAAAAAATGCTCGTACTCATGCTGCCCCGACATCTGCCAGCGCATATTGGGAATGGCATAGGCACCGATCGGTTTTCTATCGCCCATTTGCTGGGAGTAAGGGCGCCCTCTGTTTGCGAGGTGCAGAGGGAGTGTTGGCCCAAATGCAATATATCTCCATAAACCTGCAGACAAAAATTAAACAACATTAAGATTTTGTTAAAACAGTGATTTAGAATAAATATCTGCTACATATTTACTGATAAAAATCATTTACACATAAAAGAACTCTGGTTCAGTCAAATATTTGATTAGAAAACTTTGTGAGCATAAACATTTGTTTTAATCTGGCACAGTTTTATTATACATTAGTTAATAAATAGTTCATTAATGTTGTGTTGTCACTGTTTGTACTTTAAAGTTTAACTGGCAAACAGATGTGAATTTTTCAGAAAAAGTATTCCTTTTAATAATATAACTTACTATAATTTGACTTTTAGACACTTTTGATGAAAAGTAATTGAAAGTGTTGGTGGAGTTACAGTGTGTTGCAGCAGTTTACAGAAATAAAGAAACAGCTTAACAGCTTGGTTTAAAGTGAAGTAACTCACTGTGTGGAAGGTTGTTTGTCATTTAAAATTTTGGAGCAGGATTCAGTGGCTCCTTAACCGCAGGATCCTTCATAGCTGTAAAAGTTCAGAAACATGTTTTTAGTCCACATCCTGTCTGAACTTACACTTGTTCAGAAACAGTCCTGAAAAAGTTATTTACCATAAAATACAGAAAAATACTTTGTTATCTACAGAATGTTTAAGATATAAGAGAAAACAGACAGTAGTTTTACTTACGAGGCTGTAACGATCTGCCTGAAATAAAAGAGAAAATAAAGATAATTTAAACTCTTATAGTCATAATATTTCATGCATTTCATTTGTCATATTATAATGTAATTCATATTTCCATGACACTGTGCCTTGTGCTGCTTATACACTTTTGTATAAGAGCATTAACTAAAAATTAATTTTTTTCTGTTTTTCTCCCTCACTTTTCTTTTTGTAGAAAATGAATCCAATCACAGCGCCGAGGACAAGAACCACAGCATAAATGGCAATGATGATGGTGAGATTATTTCCTGGAGGTACTGTAGATCAACAACAACAAACAAATCAAACTGAAGCAGTAAAGAGAATAATCAGTTTCAACCAGATAAAAATACTGGAAAAATATTAAGAAAATAAAAGACCAGCAGCTGCACGACAAACACAGAATCCACTTTAGCATATCACAGGCTTGCAAACTTTGTCTCTATAAGCACAAAAGTAAAGAAATATTTAAATACAAAGCTCAACAAAAAAGCATGTTAATGAGGTTCTGTATTCATCAAAGCTCAGTAAACAGTGAACAGACAACAATAAAGAGCTATGCTATATAAAAAAATATCTGCTTTACAGCACTTTCAAAACATTTAATGGGGAAATATATTTTTAGGAAGTTAGCACTCACACGATGATCCATGTATGTTTGTATAATATATCAGTGATACAGACTGAAGAGGAACTTAACAGATAAAACCACATGAACTGCAGGACTTTTAAAATTTATATTTTTCACTTTAATCACTTGTGATTCTAGACTTACTTTCATTGGTCTTGATGTCTGAGTCCAGTTTGGTGACGATGTCCTCGTTCACACCAGAGAGCTGAAACACACATCTGTATCTGTGCCAGTCTTCAGATTTGATTGATGAGACATCCAGGTCAACACTCATCTGGAAGGTCCCGTCATTGTTGGTGAGAATCTCTCCTTTGTTCACACCCTCATGAAGCTCCACTCCATCTTTTTTCCAGACCATCTCGGCTCTGTTAGGATAGAAACCTGTAGCGTGGCAGGTGACTGGAGAGGAGGAAGACTTCTGGAGGAGAGACACTGAGGGACGCTCTGTGGAGTAAAGACAAACAGTTCATTCTTTCTGTATTATTACTATTACTTTTATTTGAGCTGGAGAGGTGCACAGTGCAGATGAGACGTGAAGAACAGAGTGCAGACAAGGTGGAGTGGATGGAGACGAGCAAGAATGAAAAGGAAGGTTTACAAGATGGCAGTGAGACCTGCTGAGATTTAATATCTGAGGATGGTGGCACTGAGACAAATACAGGAGACAGAACTGATGATATTAAATTTATCATAAGAAGTGAGAAGGATTAGAAATGAGTATATCAGAGCTAAAACTGTGGAAGATGATCTGCTGTGACGACCAGGAGCAATTTTAAAAGATTATTATTATTATTATTATTATTATTATCATTATTATTATTATTATTATTATTAAAACCATACCAATTTCTTTTGATGCGATGTAGTTTATAAAATTAAATTAATGTGTCAAAATGCCACGCGAAGTGCAATTACATTAACCCTTTCACACATAGTGGTCACTACAGTGGACAACTATTCAAAGGCTGTTTTCTTGCACATAAACCACTACATTGGACACTGATGAGTCACTCCATGCCTTGCAGGGTTATAGTTGTTACATATATTGTTATACTGTTATAAAATATTTTTAAAATATATTTTTATGTTATAGTTTTTACACAGTGTATATTAATTAATTTGTCAAATTCATAAGTCAAAATGTTTGTTGTACAACTAAGTGGACATTGTAAAAATACTCTTTGAAAATGAAAAGTACGTTTAAAAAAATGAAGTTCAAAAATCTTTTTTTCATGCCTTAAGATGAATAAAAATACTCAAGAAAAAAAAGCCCTGATTGAGGTTTTCATAATTCATGCATGAAAAGGTTAATTTAATATCATATTAAGTAATAAACTGAGACATATAACTTTTGGTTAACAATCTAATTCTGGTCATAGATTTTACCTGTCCTCATCAGAGAGCTCCTCCCATAGTTCACATTCTTCTTCAGCCACTCAGGACACTCCTGGGTGAGGTAGTTCTTCTTCTGTGTGATGAAAGCTCTGTTACTGTCCAACTTCATCTTTGTCACCATAGCCTGTTGTTTTGCAGCTGTCCATGTCTCTGTCTTCAGCTCAAAGCTTATGAAGTCCTCTCCATTATAACCTTCTTGGCGATATCCGTTCACTTCACCTGTTTCTTCATCCCATTCACAGCCGTACATCACCTGGTAAATGTGAACACCTGACAGAAACACAGAGACAAAGACTGCAGTGAACCAGAGAGAGAGACTGCACTAAAGTCTTACACTGACACAGAGATGTGATCAACATATAGAGGATCTACATTTATGGCTGCTTTTGTCTCAGTGGAAGATTTAAATAAAAATCATCATTAACAATGTAGATTTTAGAAAAAGACACTGGGAAAAAACAGAATTCATTTTCTCCCGTTAGCACATCTACGTCCTGCCTGCAGAGATATCACTGCACAGTTTATCTATGCTGCTGTAGGTGGAGCAACTTCCTGTGAGCTGCAGGATCAGACAAACACACTAAGCTGGAGTCCTGAGCAGCTGACACAGATCCTGATTCTAGGTTTAAGTTTCCATCCTCTGAAACTCTGCAGCCGTCATCAGTCCAACAAAATCCTTCCTGTGAGAAACTAAAACCAGACTGTCCTGATGTTTTTCTAGAGGTGTCTCTGTTTAATATGATCATGTGATGTTTATCTAATCTGGATTTCTACTTACAGTATTTCAGGCTCCAGCAAATGCTTCATGTCATCATTGATGACGATGCAAGAAAAACTTTCTGATAAATCAGTTAATTTCTTGTGCTGTGACCTGACAAAAAGGTGAAAAAGGTTCCTCTAAGATTTTACAACCCCGTTGTCATTTTTATTACATTTACTAAGAGCAGAGGACTGAAACAATAATTCAGACCTTGAATTTGACTCCATGCTGGGACACATTTGGTGTTTTTTAGAGCTGTGACCAGATCAGATTTTGCACTAAAAATATTAAAACATTCACATTAATGATATTATTGGATGTGTAGCACAGAGATCTGTGAGCGTCTTTGAGTAGGAACCTGAGCGCTGCTGGTGCTGTGGTGAGAGCAGACAGTCTACAGGTGAGAGCGACACGAGGAGTCATTCCTGCTTTTATAACATCGCTGCTCTCAAAGCCACGAGAAACGCCTCGGTGCATCATCACAGGTATTTTCTTTATATGAACATGTGGAGTTACACAACATCTAGGTTCAAATTTCACACTTTTCCAGCCTGTTTGGTTAATAAATTATATTAAAATTGCTCATCAATAAATCAGGACGCCATTAATGTCCATGAAAATCTCGCAAAAACACCTCCTTATAGGCGGCAACAAAGTGAATGTGGGATGAGCTGGTGTTGTCTGCACTCCTTTGATTGGAGTGTAGATTAAGTGGAGGAGAAACATGTGGAGGCCCTGCATGAGTCAAGAAAACGCTCACAGCTGTCACTGATAGAGGTGGGCGGGTCGATCCAAATATTGATAGTATTTATACCAACACTAGTATTGGTTACTGATCAATACTTGCATGACTGGATTGATACTTTGCTTTTATCCTTCAATTTCAGTATGTAGCCCGCTGAACTGTGTTAATTATTTCTGTAGTGGGGATTCCCTTTGTCCAACCAAACATCCTACAGCTTACAATTCACAAGCCACTGCTGCACTGTGGTAATGTTCTGTATGCAGGCAAAAGACGTCCAATAATCAACTCGAAAGTTGCATTTTATTGTTTATTTTTCCAGTTTGGCAAGCAATAACAAAGATCCATCTTTGTTCCTCCCCGCTGCTTCTCCTGCTCTGGTAAAAAACCCATAGGCCCACCCCAGTGCATTCTGGTCCTATACCAGTCCCTTTATTTAGATATATTAAAAAAAAGACCTTACAGTTCTTCCTGGCTGACTTAACAAGATAAACAACAAAACAAAACAAAAACGAAGCAAATATTAACCTACAAATAAACTTGTAAATAACCCAAAAATATAAACAAACCAACAACAAACCCAACAAATTTCAGAATAACAAAAATAAAGAATAAATAGCTCCAACAATTTCTTTGGAAAAATAAACCTCAAACATGCACTATGAAAAATGTGCTTTAGAGACAGAATTTACATCACAGGTCTCCAAAAAACTGAGTTTCAAAAAGCATGAAAGTGAGTTTTGTTGTGTCAACTAATTATTGTGGAAAGTAACAATCGCAGTGATATGGTGGTCATGGCTCACTACTCTCCCCCAATTAGCTGCCTGAATAACTTAAAATTATTGGAACTGATATTGACAATACTGCCCCTGTTGAAAGTGTGAATGTTGAATGTTTTTGTTGAAATGTCCAGGCAAGTATATACATGTTAAATGATATACAAAAGATATACATGTTAAATAGCGTCAATTACCTCACAACTATATGATAATTCTTCATAACTAAACAATAAGAACAAGTAGTCTGATGTCCTGTGATCATTATGAAGCTATAATTTGAAATACAATAACACGTTAAGTTTTTGTACAAAGTATCGGTATCGATCAGTATTGTTGATACCACCCTGAATATTACATCACTAGTCACTGAGAAAAAAGCAAGCTCAGTGATCCGCCAAGAACGCTGCTATTTTCCGCCACTCATAAATGTTGCGTAGATGAGTGACCAAAGCTGTGTTTAATGACCACAACAACCTGTGGGTTTTTTCCCCGCTCATAGGGAGGCTTTCTGGAAGGGTTCTTGCTGAATTTTACGGCGTCCTGATTTAACGACACCACCTTAATAATCAACCTTCAGCCAGTTTATGGGAAAAGTGAGACATTTTAACACTTTACTTTCCTTGATTATATTTTCAGGTTGTTGTTTATTAGTAAAAGTAAAAAAAAACATTAAATTTTAAATATTAAACATAGACTGAAACTCATATTTACTGTCTTATTTTTAAATAGGACAAAAATCAGTGTAAAATTTAGAGAAACTGTTAACTGTTAAACGTCTGTCTGTTAGTTTGTGTTTCTTATTTTCTTATATTTACTTATATCTACTTCTCACCAAACTGTTGCACTATTGAAGTAAAACTAAAAGTTAAATATTTATTTATTTTCCACAGAGTAGCTTTGAGTTTGTCACCGATTTATTTATGGAACCTCTGCTAATGAAAGATAATCCTGAAAACATTTCCTCATGAAAACGGGCTGAATGTCTGTTTCATTTTCACAAATTTTGATGCATTTAGTTAAATTCATTCATAAAGAGGCCGTGGACAGTGAACGGGTCATTGAGCTGTCTCTACTTGTTACTTGTCTCTACTTGTCTCTAGCCTGTTACAAAGTCAACCCTGCTTGATTCTACTTTTTGTATTAAATATAACATTATTATTATTATTATTATTATTATTATTATTATTATTATTATTATTATTATGTGTTTAATGGAATCTGGAAAAACTGTGACATCACAGCACAATTAACATCATAACTTGCCCCTTCATTTCTCTGCATGGTGTCTGACAAATGTTCTTTTTCTATAATTTATTACAACGTGTGATTATTTGTGAGGGACGTCTGAACTGAGACACGGAGCGACTTCCTGTGAGCTACAGGAACAGACAAACACACTAAGATGGATCCTGAGCAGCAAACATTTCCATCCTCTGAAACTCTGCAGCCTCTTATCGTTCTAACAAAATCCTCTAACTGTGGGAAAACTACACACCAGACTGTCCTGAGGTCTTTCTAGAAGCTTCCACTGAAGGAGAGTTTCAGTCCAGGATGGTTTTTATTAAAAGTCAAATATTAGTTCACAATAATTGTAAAACAAATACACCTCAGACTGATTATTTAGATCCTGCTGATTTTCTGGAGATTAATTTCTGAATAATTGATTATTAAGAAATTGTAGCAAAAACAACCATCAAGGTTTCAGAGGCAAAAAATCCTAAATATAAACAGAAAACTTCAAATATCATGAATTTATCTTTATTATTTGATTATTTTGATCAACTAAACAGTTAAATTATGCCAGTTCATGCAAACATGATCATTAAAGCTGGTTGAATTAAATTAAAGTTTCACAGACTGTAGTTCTACATTTATTATGAATTATTATGTTATTAATTTTAATCTGTAATCTGAATGAAACATTTAATGTGTGCAAACCTGTTTACTACTGTAAACAAAACACACTGAAAACATTAACAGCAAGTATCAGTAAAAAAAATTAAACATGAACAAACCTCCAGTTTGGTTGAAGCGCTGCTTTAAAATCTCAATGTTGGCTTTGAACTGATGCTGGTTGGTCATGGAGATCTCAGTCTCTCTCTCCCAGTACTGTGGATCTACTGCACCCTTCACCCAGTCCTGTTTGGGCACCAGTTTCGCTGTGTTGCTGTCATAATATTCAATCTGAACATCATCGACCATCCCAACAACCACAAACTCTGGGAAGTTTGAGACTTGAGAGGATCCAGTGTAGAAATACTTCAGAGAGTGGGTCACTGTGAGAAACAGCTAATGTTGTGAGATCTCAGGAACACAGACTAATAAATCACATTATTTTTTAAATAACACAATAAGAAAAACTACAGCACATTAAGGACTTCCTGTAATAATCCTGCTGTCCCTGCAATAAACACAAAATAGATTTATGAATAGATATTCAGTGTTTAATGTCATTTTCTGATCCTCTTTTCTTCAAAACTTCAAATTCTAGTTTGAACCTGATTATTCACAGAAAGTTTTAAAACTGTTGTTTATCCTTCAGTTTGGT